TGTTTGCTGAATCCGATGTTCACAAACAGTCACATCTGCATTTATGCCGTACATTTCAACTAGTTGGCATCTGCCGCCGTCGGATGCAGCGGCGGATCTTCGCTACTGGTCGTCAGGCCAGCAAGACTTTTGGGGCGGAGCAAGCAAAGACCCTGTTCGGCCGTTCGTTGGGGAAAAATCCTTCTCCTCAGTTGTTGCAGAAATGTGCAACTGATGCTGGCCAAATGCCCACGAAGGCTGGTCTAAAACTGGCCCATTCCGAAAATACAAACGAGACGGCATTTCACCTGTGCTTCCTAAGCCACAAAACAGGTCCCCGGAGGGTTCATGCCTTTAACCTGATTGACATGCTTCTTCAAGATGAGCTGACCGCCTTTAGCCGACCTTCAAGGCCGGTTGACTCGGTGAAACAGCTGCTTTCATTGTAGAACTCTCATACTTTCTGGTTGCCGGGATGATTGAAGTGAATGTCAACTAAAACGTAAGCAACTCACTAACTTAGTCAGTCTGAGAAGAAGATAAATTATTCATCTAATGGCTAAAAAATCGAAATGTATAAATAAATACTAAAATATTAGTTGATTAACTAAATGACAGATACATCCAGGTAATGAAAAACTGGCCGGCTTTGTGTTTAGCCCAGCGATAACTCATTCTATTTTGAGCACATTTATCATTTCATTCGATCCCACCGGCATACAAGCTGCGTAGTCCTCTTGGTCTGCTGTCGTTGAATTCCATTTTGATGTTCAGGTTGAAGCAGGTTTCGAGACACCGTCTTGCATTTCCGGGCAAAATAGGCCATCTTTTCGCCTCTCCGGCCACACTTGACAGACATCATCGGAGCTGGAGCGCATTCTCCCAACAACTTTTAGCCCACGCAGTGTCCACAAAACTAACCGCTATTTATAAGCATACAGAACGTAATTTCGCCAGGAGAAGAGGGATTTAATTAATCTATTTTTACACCTTTCTAAGCTTTATTTGATTTAATTTGTTCTCATGCATGTGTGTATCCATGCCTACGGCTGTGGGAAGTTAGAGCAAAGCATAAAAAAGGTAAAAAAATCCTCTTTTTGTTAAATTTGACCAAAATTATTGCACCATACCGGACGCATGTTCAGTTGGGTTGATGGGCTTTTGAGTTGAAATCAGATTTGGTGAAAATAGGGAATTTATCCGAACCATGAATGGCAAGACTAAATGGGATACTTTTGCTTAAAGTTGGCTCAACATCCGATTGTCAGACTGTTGATTGCCCGTCTGGTTCTTATACACACATCAACCCACCCTGTCACCGTGCCGACCAGCCTAACTTTATAGGCCGATTGTGAGTTGGATTTGGAAAAATTCAGTTTTACTTAATTTCCCTTCTAAAATGCTTTCTATTCAGATGTGAGCTGTTGTTTAATTATCGATGGAATGCGATGGGTGCCGATCTCGATCAACAAGTTTATTTTGAGGTGCTTCTAATTGCCATTTCATTCATACACGTTACTTGCATTCACTGGGAATTCATCTCGAGAATGCCCGGTGGAATTTCATTTCGCATTAAAGTGAATGATGAAGAAATTCGTTGGTCGAGCTCACCAGATGAGCCCGGATGAATCTCGTTGTACTGCAGCCGTTTTTCTTTTAGACGATATTCATGTTGACGCAGTCCACGAGACTTCCTCCCTCGTTTCTGGTGAAACGGGCATCATCCGATGGACATCATCAGAGCTGGGTTTCATTCTTGTAAGGGTCTCACGTTAACCCTAGGCCAAGAAGACTATCCGGATCTATCTTACTTCTTATGTAGACTCAATTGAGCGAAATGAAAATTAAAAACCTAGATAGATAGATAGACAGATAGACAGACAGACAGATAGACAGACAGACAAACAGACATACAGGCAGACAGGCAGACATACATACATACATATAAACAAACAAACAAACAAACAAACAAACAAACATACATACATACATACATACATACATACATAC